ATAATTTACTTTCATCGGTCCATATCACATTTCCAATAAAATTTGGATCTTCCTTATGTCGGCGTAAAAATTCTCGGCACAACGCCACACGTCGTAAGTAGTCAGAAGGCAAAAGCGCTTGTACCCTTGCTCGTGAAATGGGTGACATCGATGGCGGTTAATTATCTTCCATACGGTTTGATGTGACATACTAAAACGTCTTGCCAGGGTGCTTGTGCTTATCCAAGGATTTATTGTTATAGCAGTTAATATCCGCTCTTCATTAACAGATCGTGGTCGTCCCTCACGACTAGCACGATTTGGAGGGAATACACCCCGTGTTAATTCACGATGCACGTTTATAAAAACTCGATGATCTGGCCATATCTGGCGGTTAGGATACAGATGTTAATACCGCTCTCTGTACACCCTGGCAGCTTGACTGCCGTTTCTACGACACTCGCCATAAATGTAGTGCATGAGTATGTATTCTTCGCTTTTCCACAGATTATTATGCCCGTATAACACAACTTGGTTTACGTACGTCACAATTACAGTTTAAGAGATAAATCCGTGTGGGTACACACAATGGAACAGACTGACCGGGCACGGGAACTGTAGCTAGATCGGACCGGTTTGCTGTGATTGGAGAGCGAGGGAGAGGCACCGCACCGTACCGTACCCGCAGGTAGTAGGCCGGACCGGTTACGAAACGAAGTAAACCGTACCAGCAGGTGGTCGGTCGGACAGGTTTGGTGCCGGACCTGAAGGGTCCAATAATTTTCAAAATAACTATATGATGTGCAAATATTGAATACATTTGAAACGCTATAAGTTGGATACATTTTGTTCTCATCTCATCACACCATCTCAGACACTGAAATCATAAAAAAATATGTTTTTTAAAATTTTGTTAAATATCGTGTTTATTGCTGTAATGTCGACCAGTTCGATGAAATTTTAAATAAAACCATAATCATAGTAGATAAGTACATAATTTTTTTTTAGTAATTAGATGTATAAGTAGACAAGTTTTTGCAATCAAGTGCAGATGCTGTGTCATACGTTTTCAATATTTTTAACACATCAATTAAAGTAATGAAAAAAAAATTCTTTTTTTCATACGTCCTGATATTTTAAAAATAATTTTAAGTGAGGTATTTAATTTAATACTTAGCTCATTAAAAAGCAGGTTGGTTTAAGATAATAAAAATAAAAAGAATGATAGAAAAAGATAATTATGTTTAAGTACAGGCGTGTCCAAAGGTGTAAAAACGTAAAAATCGTAATGTGTATGAAATTTTTAATTAAAAATACTGTTAGGAATATTACCATAGTACCATGGGCTTTTTTGTAGTCCATAAGCTCTCTCGACTTAATAGACACCCTAAAGCTTGGTAACGCACCGAAAACGAACCGAGTCTACCGAACGGAAATAAAGGTAATAATCTCATTTTAAATCGCGTAAAATTTAAAAATAAGGTATTTAATTAATAAACTTTTGTAACTACAGTGAAAAATAAATATTTTTTTTTATATATAATACTAAGTAACGGAACTAACGTGTCGTGCGCCTGGTGGTAAGCGGTGTCGCGTTCTGTCCATAACAGTTGCAGTGCAAAGATCTGAGGGGCAGTGCCACTGCACCCGACACCCTGAGATATAAGTTGACAAGTCCCATGTCCAACTTCACTAGCACCTTAAGGGCGCATAATAAATGCACACGGATTTCGTCGCGCTGACCCCGTTCGCCGAGCGGAGTCCGCGCAGACCCCGTTCGCCGAGCGGAGTCCGCGCAGACCCCGTTTGCCGAGCGGAGTCCGCGCAGACCCCGTTCGCCGAGCGGAGTCCGCGCAGCCGCCGTGCAGCGACCGGGTGCGTCTAACTGTCATAGCAAAATACGCTCGATTTGTTTAGCTTTTAACGTCCCGCGCACGCGGGGGAGCCTGACTTGAGTTTGGTCTACGCGACGGCTTGCGCGGTGACCGCGCCGTTGTATGATTCAAAGGAATTTAAATGTTATTGCCTAGTAAATAGAATTCAGATTCACGAACGCAATGGTAACTGGGCGATCGCCGCGCCCGCGCTCGGTGTGTTGACGTCCGTATAAAAATACATGGAGTTGGACCCGCCGCGGTCCTGACCTGACCCGCACCCGCTCTCAGTGTGATTCTTTGTTTAAAATGTACTTAAGTTTAGTGCAATAGACGTTAGTTCCTCTATTCGTATAAATTTTTAACTAAGCTCATTCGTAGTATTTTTTACTTGTTCTTTTTATTTATTAACCAACTTCAAAAACAAGGAGGAGGTTCTCAATTCGGCTGTATTTACACTGTTACCTCTATTTATACTGGTACGGGGTCAAGAGCACGTCAAGCTTGATACTTAAGACTTAAATCCAACTCTATGTCGCTTACGATAAGAACGGTCCAAAGTACAAAGTGTCAAGCTTGGCGTGCTCTTCACTGTACCTTAGTAGGGGTCCCAATTAAATTTGAAGAAAATATTCCTACATATATTATATATATAGAGTTACAAACTAGGGAATGAACCCGGTTTCGCGCACTTTCCGGTGACCGATTGCAACAAAATTTGGCAAATAGACGTAATTGCACTAATTTTGAGCTCGGTGTTTTTTTCTAATAAAAGTTATATTTATTTAGTCGTACGTTGTTTTAGAGCATCCTGAATATTAATTCATATACGTATTTCCCACACCTTTATGTCGATATATTTTAATGCTAATTAATACTTTCATGTTTTGTGTTGTTAATTGTTATAACGAACACAGATAATGCTAACGGTGTTTATAAATTACTAAATATAACTCAAAGAACATTAGATAACTTTATTTTACCATCAAATTCATGATTAATTGTCGTGAAATGAATGAACTTATCAAATTAAGTAAATAAGATTGTAACGAACAATATAAGTATCAGTAAGTTTTATCAAGCGGAATCAAACTGATAACTATGTTGTATTACGAACTGTCCTTATTATCTTTTAAATTATCAGATACTTTTACTGTTACACCTCGTAGCCGTTAATCGTAGTGTCAGATAACACTGCAGTACTACCATGAGTTACAGTGTGAAAATATCGAGTGATCTCGTAAAGATATTTTTTGCTTTTTTATTTTCACATTTTTTTTAATTCTAGTTCAGTGTACTTATTAGATATGACGTCACGGTAGGAGCATAAGGACATATTAGTCCTCGTGCTCCTACCAGTAGGAGCATGAGGAAACAGCCCATAAAATATTTGTATGTTAAATTTCTGGAAATGAAGCATTTCTTTTTAGGATCTACGGCCCCTAACAGTGCGAAGCGGTTGACCTACGCGGATGTCCGCGACGAACTGTAATAGTACATTGTGTATTCAAGACGATATATAAGAAAGTACTAAGTTTATTAAAAGCCTGAAGCCTAAGGCTAAGGGCTTTAATAACTCGAGTTTCGTATTTTTGTGCCGTCTGTGATACATACAATGTTTTTCGTCACATTGCGAGGAAATAAATACAATGTTTATGAATAAATATGGTTCACAACACAACAATTATTATTAGGTATTTTGCAAATGGCGGGATTTTTTTTTAAATTAACAGATGGTTAGCTAGCTATTCTTCCATAGATACATCTCGAACTAAAATGTTGTAAAAAGCCAAGACGCATACTGCCATGATGGATTGTAAAATAAAAATTTAGCTAAATTTTTATACAGAAAATAATAAAAATTAATTGTAAGACATTCTTAACAATAAGTATGTTTATATTACATTTTAAGCGAATGTTTTAATTTTGAACTTGTGTAACATCCTTACTTGAACCTGACCTATGTAAGGAAGTATGTCGTGCTACAAATTAAAAAAAACCCTTACCGACCAAGGCTGTGATGGGAAGTTAAACGACAGGGTTTTATTTGGGACATAGTCAAGTTAGCCACCATGCAATCACACTGTTTACGATCAAGTGTGATGAAAAATGTATTATGCCTAACAGTACATTCTGTGCGATGCGGGTGCGCTGAACTATCCATTTAATCCGCTACACACTTCGACCGCTCGCCGCTAGCAGGCAGTCCGCATTGCACTGTTAAGGCCCTACGTGTATTTGTTTTTTTATTTTAACAAACCAACGTTTTGAGCTTTTTACAGATCAAGTCACGTGTATTTGTTTTTTAAACACATCAACGTTTCGTTTTATAGGTCTCATGGTCACGGCTGACTATCAGCCTTATACAGTTATTAATTCTCTGTTCATTGCAACACAAACAGCTTAATAGTTATATTACACACAGGGTATTTACATGTAATATTCTGTTATAAAATAAGTTGTTATAAGTAACTTTATATATAACATAGCAAGGTATACGCTTATAAGAATTGCATCAAAGCAGAAAGTGGTTCTTGTAGCGCCATCTCGCCTAAATAAGTATTACTTCAAAAATGTATGCGATAATCTGTTGTTGTATTATTTACTCCGTGGTAGGGGTAAAGGTTTTGGCAAATTGGTGACAATTTATGAGTCATGCTAACGTGGTCCTTGAGATATATAAATATCTATGTAGTAAAGTCAACAACACGCTAAAGTTCGTACTTTAGACTGGTTTACCGTAAGTGTTAAAGAGTTGAATTTTAATAATTGAGAACGAAGACGTGCCGGTTATTTATGAGTGCCATGGTTACATTTACTGATTTACAATATCAAGATGTATAATTTTGAAAATCATCTGATCGGAATGGCTTGAAATACTTGCGTGCGTGCGTGCGTGCGTGCGTAATGTGAACAAAAAGGTTAAAGACAATGTTGCTGTTGTTGATTTTCAGTCTTAGCCAGTAGTTGTTCGCTTGCTGCACCAGGTTGATAGATGCGCGGGGTGTACCCCAACTATCTACCTTAAGTAATATGTTAAGAGTCGTTACTACCTCAGCTCGAATTCTAATTTTTCCCG